CATTTGACAAGTGTATGTACAGCAACAAACATTTCATTCTTGAACATTTCAGAATATACATATTTCATCTTCAGCAAGCTATACTGAACAGGGTAGATTATTAGGTATAAATATTTATAAAGTTTGAACATTTTCTAAAAAGTAATTAAAATACAGAATCATTTTGTTGTTCATTATTAAACTTCGATTCCTGTCAAATGAATATGTTGCTAAAGCTATTATTACTATTATTATAATGCAGTGAAAATAAATTATTATGTTTATTTCAATAAACTGACTATCCTATATAATTTTATTACAGAAATTGTCTTTCCTGACAAGACTGTTGACTTATCCGACCTTGATCTTACACTGTCTCCAAGACCAACCAAGTTGGAGGAAACTAACAATCAAGTCAACAGAGTTTTAACTGTAAGCATTTTGAAATATTTTATTCTTGTTTTGTGTATGACATAAGGAATAATTACAACTACTGTTTACTGATTAAAAGCACTTTTTTTTATTTTGCTTTGTTCATTAAGCCTGTAACTGCACAGATGTATGTTATCAAATATAAAAAGCCTCATTGTAATAGGGCATTATAGGCAAATGATTTCCTGATGGATTATCTTAAAATCCATACGTGAGTTACCTTTGAACTACAATTACATGTACTGCTGTAATATAAATAAAATGATTTCTTTTGTTGATTTTTTTAAACAGCCAAATAAAGTTCCATCGCCTGTACCAAGTTCATCATCATCATCTCTACAACTTTCAGCAACATCAATGGGGCCAAGCTCTGCTCCCCCCACCCCTACTAAGCCTCGGCACTGTCATGCATTTCACATCAATGGCTCTAGTACTTTGCCATCTGCTAATCCTTTTTCTCGCTCAAGTTCATCGAGGGGCTCTTCTCATAGTCTTTGCAACCAAAGACCAAAGATCGGACCTATGTATCACAGCAGGCCATCTAGCCATACTGAGCATTACACAAGATCAGGATCTCAGTCCACAGTTGGGTCAGATTCATATGATAATGTGAGTGCTGGTGGGGGACATGGTCCATTCTTACAAAGTCCTTATCAAAACAGGTTAGTTGTCATACAAGACTCAACTCTCTGTATATGGCTTATGTTGAAGTGAAACATAATTTTCAGGTTCAAGAGTGATGGTTAATGTTTATTTATATATATATAGTTAGATATAGATATTTCAGCCTAGGGTTGGGAAAAAAGTAGTTTTCTTTCTTCCTGACAAATTTTTATTTTCTCTCAGAAACAATCCAACTGAAGTAAGTACTTTTCTACTAGCAGACAAGGGAGTATGTTCAGTTTTGTACTTTTTTAGCTCTTATTCTTTATTTTTATGGACAAAGTATTTAAACAAATACCACTAGTAGTTCTCTACCATAAGTAAGTCTTTGAATAACTATTTTATGTAGACAACTAAGGGTTTGAAAACTAGTTTTTCTCATAAATCTGTATATAAGGATGAATAATGCTGATTCTATATCGTCCACAGTCCTTTATTACATGTTAGATTTATCTTATTCTCATCAATGATATACAACAATTATTTAATTCCATCATTACTATATAATTTATTGCAGCATAACTGCTGTTTTTTAACCTTGAAACACAAAAACTGAGACACTACACCCATATAATGTGTGTGTGTATATATATCGCATTACTGTTATCAGTCCAGGTTAATTTCTTTGTAAGAGCAGAGTTTGGAAGTTTAATTAGTAGAAATATTAGGGTGGCTTTCATTTCTACTTTTAAGAAACTTAAGGGTAACTGCCTTCCCAGAACTGGCTATAGACAGTGAAAGGCAGTAGAAGCTGAGACATTGTGGATGTAAGCACTCAGCTTCATACCCTTATTTGATTTTTTATGATTTTCCATGATGGCTGACTAAATTGACATTGGTGTTTGGATTTTGTCTGATAGATGGGATATCCCCAACACATTTGGTTGCTAATACCACAGACATTATCCATTGTGACAGTAAGCTGACAACCTGGACCAATAATGGTATTGCAATATTTAATTCATTATTGTTGTATAGTGCCATCTGAAACACTTATTAACAG